GCCAAGATCTTGCTAGTTTACTACAATTGGATATTTGGATTCCAGCCAAGATTTTCAAGTTTCAATTCAAGTAAGTGGATCTGCCGTGAATTTAGTAGTTCTAAAATAGTATTATATACTACTAAATTATAATTAAAAAAGATACTTCATAAAATGAAATATATTCAAATACAATTATTAAGATGGAATTGTAAAAATCTCGTTGGTATCAACCTCCAGAATATATATGTAATATGTTAATTAATTTCCTCACAACATCCCAAACCTCAAAATATGTGTTGGCAAGTTGCAATAAATAATGTATAGTTTTGCTAATATGATTAAAACGTCATCTGACATGATAGATTATACAAGATATCTATAAAGCACAAATAGTAATGAGTAGGATTATCTTTCTTCTTATTCTCATCTCCTTTCCTCCCATCCTCTTACATATTATTTTTTGTCTTATTGTTTCTATAAGAAAATCAATACAAGATATTAACGTGGCTAAATCGTAACCGTTCAAATAGGATGAGAGATAATCATCTTCGAATAATAATTCATTTTAAGAACATCAGCTCGGTGGAATATAATTAACCACTACAAGATGGTTTAATAGTTGGAACGATTGCCAACTCTTATGTTACACTGTACGTATTGAGTTTGATTCCTAACTCTAGTGAATCACAAGATGATGATCAAGGGAAAATGCTTCTGTAAGTCTTCTCGGCTCCGAGAAAGATGGATTGCTGCAGTGGATCCTTTTTTTTATTATTGCTTCATGTTTACTTCAACTGGAAAAAAACTTATGCGAGAGAGATAAAGAGAGAGAGAGAGTGCATACTCCATGCATGCAAGTTTTTCTCATTAAACTTTCATGACCTAGTACCGTAGAAACCAGATCATAACATCATGCAAACCCTAATTTGCACGCATTAACGAACCTACTGGCAGACCAAATTAGAAAGAAACTTGAAAGGTTGGCAACTGGTAATGGCACTCGAAATCATGGGATGGAGACATGTAGGCCTAACACATCATACTTGCTGCTCAATATATTTGCTGCAAATATCAATCACAACTCAGCGGGCCATCGTTGGTTGTGAATATACATTTCTTTCACTGGATTGAGAGGGCCAAGGCCATGAGAGATGGAACATCTTTTTCTTAGGGGCAGAGACACCATGAGTGAACTATGCATGAGATACCATAAACTCCTATTATCTCTATGAAAGCGAAACGTGCGATGAAAAATGAACAACCAACTCTCTTTGTAACGAAAATCTTGACCTTTTCCCAGGCATGGATTTGATTGCCAACGTTGGCATAGAGGAAAATGGTTGGATTTTTCTTTGGTCTGTGGGAAATAGGTTGAATCTGGGGTTTTGTTTTCATTTCATTGAGATGGACCATTTTGTTTTTTTGGGAGGCCCATAGATTGTCTTTCATAGTCGCTAGCAAGTGGGATTTATAGGCCTGGCAAAACTTTCGAGATTTCTTTGGGCAAGTAGTTCCATACTTCTACCAAGAAGATTGATGATACCACAGATTTATTTTTACTTTTTAAACATTTTTGTTAATTTATGTCTTTTAATCTTCTTCTATTAATTTGTTCTAAATGGGAAGTAATTGGAAATTAAATATTATAATTCTTATATTATAATATTTAATTATAAAATATGAATGAAAAAATAAAAGTCAGTTAAGTGTTACAGGTTTTGTATCAGAGGGTGCCGCAAGGGGTGCCATCCCCTTTAATGATGTGTCTGTTAAGGGGTACTACTTAACTACCTAATCCCTAAACGATACATCTCTTAGTAAAAATCTGAGTCGTGTCTTGAGAGTACAGAATATATGAAGTTCACCAGAGTCCAAAGATTGAAGTGTTTTGACTTCGGATTATAGATTGTTGAATTCTGTGAGACGGACGCCTACTTAACTACAAGCACAAGAGTATGGGCGAAATTCTGTCTTTAGGACATTGCATTTATGCAAGCCTCAATCTCCAAATTTGTTAGTTTTTCTAACTTGTCTCTAGTTGTTTATATTAATCTCATACATAAATTGATGTTGTTGTGATTTTCTTTATGATTGTTATCATTGCAATTATATTGTTATTTTTCATATTTTCTAATATTGCTCCAACAATAACACACTCATAAAGTTTAAGGAAAAACTAACGAAAAGTCCTAAAAAAATTTAGTTTTAATCAAAAGAACAAAATAAAGGTGTAAGTGAATAGTACCAGGAGTGACTTTTCAAGTTAAAAATGTTCTCAACGTTAAAAGTGAACAGTCCTACGAGTGTTTCATTAAAATTCCCTAAATTTTAATGCGTTGTTTGGTGCCTAGGATTGTATTGGACATGATAATTACTTGTTATTTAATTTTTATTGGAGCGAAAAAAAGGATGCTAACTTTTTAAATTTTGTTGGAGTTAAAATAGAAGATGAAGGACTCTATAAGTGCCGATTGAAACTTGGTCTCCAGTTTGGTGACTAGCCTTGTGGAGTCTTGTAGCAACTTTGTTCATCTTCATGAAGGAAGGAGTTGCGGAGTTTGTAGGAGTTCTTATTAATCTAAGCCATAATCGTGGTCAACCATCAAAGGTGGATGATGGTTGATCAAATAGTGGTGAAGAGATTTCATGTACGGACAAGTAGCAGATAGAGGAAAACAAAAGTTTAGGGAGATTCTAACGTACAATCGTGGATAAATTTCTTTCTTCGTATATTTCACATCACATGACTGAAATATAGAAAGAATGAGATTTATCCTATATAAGACAAGCGAAAATCTTTGAAAAATTTAGACATTGGTATATAATATGTACCTTAGAAACTCTGATACCCACGTTAAATACAAGGATGTAATTTTGATATAGTAATTTTCATCGGCAAGATTCCGGGTTTCTCATGGCCAGACTAAAGTTCCGTCATCGGCCCAAGGCCGATTTTTGGCTCGACAGCTCGTAAAAAGACCAAACATACCCGAACCATACTTTCTAAACCAAATCCAACTGGTTTGCTTGTTGAAACGAAGATTACTCTTTGCAGTCAAAATTTGTTTGATTTTTATGTGTAATATAAGTTTTATTAACCTAGGCCAACTATGATGATCTCATAACCATTCCTTCTTCCTGATGAAACGACGTCAAATGATCTGAATTCGGATAAAAGACTTTTCGGAGCCGGTTGTACTTTTGGACATCAAACTTATGAGCCTCCATGAGCCGCCGTTGCTTGGCCTTGAAGCGACGGTGGAAGAACCCTTGGAAAGTGGGCTCCGTCATGACCTAGTAATGTAGAAACCAGATCATAACATCATGCAAACCCTAATTTGCACGCAGTAACGAGTCTACTGGCAGACCACTACTGCAGCGCCCAAATTATAAGGAAACTCGAAAGGTTTGCAACTGGTAATGGCACTCGAAATCATGCGATGGAGACATGTAGGCCTAACACATCACACTTGCTGCTCAATATAATTGCTGCAAATATCAATCACAAATCAGCGGGCCATCATTGGTTGTGGATATACATGTCTGAACCTATGTCAACAAATTCCAAATTGTTTCGTCACTCAAAGTTTTGAAGTTTTGTTACGAGGACAAATGTCGACGGGCACCAAACAAAAACCCTAGCGATATTCTTTCACTGGATTGAGAGGGCCAAGGCCATACGAGATGGAACATCTTTTTCTTAGGGGCAGAGACGCAATGAGCGATTGTGCATGTAAAATCATAAACTCATCTCTGTGAAAGCGAAACGTGAGATGAAAAATGAACAACCAACTTTCTCTGTACCAAAAAAATTGACCTTTCTCCACGCACGGATTTGATTGGCCAACGTTGGCATGGAGGAAAATGGTTGGATTTTTCTTTTGTCTGTGGGAAATATGTTGAAACTAGGGTTTTGTTTTCTTTGAGCTGAGCCTTCTTTTGTATTTTTGGAGGCCCATAGATCGTCTTTCATCATCACTAGCAAGTGGGCCTATATAGGCCCGACAACTTTGCCCAAATTGGTACCATATTTCCAGAAAGAAGCTTGATGATGTATGATAGATTTTAAGGCGTTGTTTGGTGCCTAGAATTGTATTGGATAAGATAATTACATGTCGTATTTAATTAATATTGGAAAGTAAAATGGATGTTAACTTTTAAAAGTTTGTTCGAGTTAAAGGTAGAAGATGAAGGAAACTTATTACTTTACAAGTGTCGATTGAAACTTAGGCCTCCAGTTTGGTGACTACCTTTGTGGAGTCTTATAGCAACTTTGTTTTAACGTGGCTCTATACATTGATCAAGAAAGGAGTTGCCAAGTTTGTAGGAGTTGTTCTTAATAAACTAGCCAAAATCGTGGTCAACCATCAAAGGTGGATGAAGGTTGATAAAATAGTGGTGAAGAGATTTTGTGTACGGAAAAAAACAGATAGAGCATCACTAAAGATTGGGGAGATTCTAACATACAATTGTGGATAAATTTCTTTCTTCGTATATCTCCTATCACATAATTGAAATATAGAAAGAGTGAGATTTATCCTATATAAGACGAAGCAAATATCTTCTAAAATTTTGGATAATGGTATAATCTATACCTTATAAAATCCGAAACTAATGTTAGTTACGCGGATGAAATTTTTTAGAAGAGTATATTTCAATAGGCATCATGATCCTCATAAAGTGGAGAGCCTTGTTAAACGGTAGGCAAAACCTTCGTTGGTGCACTTACCCTTGATTTCATCTATTTGACTTTTTATTCAAGTGCTTCCCTAGTTCAAAAGACAAGATACCCTTCTCCAACCACTTTGACATTAATTCTAGTATTTTCAGACCGTGCAAGTGGTAAAGAACAAACACATTAGCGTAACTCAAATTGTGTAATTGGTTAATCAAGAAAATAGAACTCAAGTTCGAACACAGGTGTTAAAGAACCAACACATTGTCTTTATTAATTAGCGTAACTTGGATTTTTGTGGTTTTGGACCCCTTATAAATGGCGAACAACGTTACAATTACACATTTTAATATCTGACCATTAGAAAGTGATAGTACTAGATACATACAAGTATTGTAGTCAAATCTCCTAATACATGATTTGCAAAACAATTACAAGCTCCCTTTTAACATGAAGAAGAAAGTTGCTTAACATTCAACTAGTCAATTTACTTTACACAAGGGATGATGACAACTGAACCTCTGTACAAGATTTCGAGTTTCTCATCGCCAAACGCCGATTTTTGGCTCGACAGTTCGTCCAAACATACCCGAACCATACTTTCTAAACCAAAGCCAACTGGTTTGCTTGTTGAAACAAACATTACTCTTTGCAGTCAAAATTTGTTTGATTTTTAGGTCTAACATAAATAACCTAGGCCGACTACGTTAATCCCATAACCATTCCTTCTTCCTGATGAAACGACGTCGAATGATCCAAATTTGGATAAAAGACTTTTCGGAGCCGGTTGTACTTTTGGACATCAAACTTATGAGCCTCCATGAGCCGCCGTTGCTTGGCCTTGAAGCGACGGTGGAAGAACCCTTGGAAGGTAGGCTCCGTCGATGTCCGGAGAAAGAAGGCGTAGCCCAAGGCGAAGTGGATGGAGGTGACGAAGAAGCAAATGGGCTCCATGACATCCCAGCTCAACTCCCAGAAAGTGAGCCTCATGGCCCCGATCGTTTGAAATAACAAAAAAACCAGCCCACAGTAGAGCTCCCCTCGTACCAGGGCCCTGGCTTTTTGGTCAATTAACATCTTTTGAGTTTCCATCTGGTGCAGCTCTCTTCTTCTTGGATCGTTTGGGATGGGCATGGATTCTGAGATTATGCTCTCCATCGATTTTGCCACCTGTAAAATAAATTAGACGAAGGTTTGTCAGGCATTACAAAAACGAGAACAACTTCTATGCAATGAGGTGATATAACAAACAAATCACGCAGCTTTACGTGTCATTGTATTAGAGGATCGAAAGTTAACCATATCAGATGGAAGCCATTAACATAGAACACAAGAAGAAAGAAAGCTTAAGAGAGAAGAAAAGAGACGAGAGAAGACTTTAGAGAAAGAAAGAGATATTATTTTCTTTATTACTTTTTCTACTTACAATCTTCTTACAGAATAATAGCTATATACTATCTTGATCTTGTTATAGCTAGAATATCCCAATCGTATCCTTCAATCTAGCCACTGTATTAATGACAGATGGCACAATCTAACTGATTCAGTTATATACTCTTACATCCCCCCTCAAGCTCAGGTTGGGATGACCCAAGCATGAGGTTGGAGCAATGAGTAGTAAACAATGGTGAACTAAGACCTTTAGTGAGTATATCAGCAAACTGTTCTGAGGAGGAAACAAACTGCACAAGGAGTTTCTTGTTGGCCACTCTTTCGCGGACAAAATGAACATCCACTTCAATGTGTTTTGTCCGTTGATGTTGCACAGGATTAAAGGATAGTGCAATGGCAGACATATTATCACAAAACAAAACAGGAGTATACTCGAGTTTGATTTTCAAAAAAGTAAGAAGTTGCTGCACCCAATCTAACTCGGCAGCAGTGGATGACAACGCCCTGTACTCTGCCTCAGTTGACGACCTAGACACAGTCTGTTGCTTCTTAGAAGACCAAGAAATAGGATTATTTCCAAGAAATACCACTAAGCCAGTAGTTGACCGTCGATCATTAGGGTCTCCTGCCCAGTCAGCATCACTAAAAGCCTTTAGGATCAACTCTCCACTACTGTAACTAATGCCATGATTTAGAGAACCTTTAAGATATCGTAATATTCTTTTAACTGCAGTGAAGTGAGAGATCATTGGAACCTGCATAAACTGACTAACTTGATGAACCGAAAAGGCAATGTCAGGCCTGGTAAATACAAGATACTGCAAGGCCCCAACGATACTCCTGTATAGTGCTGGATTGTTAAAAGGTTGTCCATCATCCTTAAGAAGCCTGTTGTAAGGCAAACAAGGAGTGGCTGCAGGTTTGGAATCCAACATTTCTGTTTTCTTCAACAAGTCCTGAATGTACTTCTCTTGAGATAACAATAAACCAGAGGCAGTTCTAGTGATCTGAATACCCAAGAAAAAGTGTAAAGGACCAAGATCCTTAAGCTCAAATTCTGTAGTTAACTGGGCAATAACTTGTTGAATTGTTGCAGCTGCACTTCCAGTGATGATTATATCATCAACATACAACAAAAGTATCACAATTTCAGCACCAACACACTTGACAAACAGTGAAGAGTCAGAATAAGTATTGTTGAAACCCAATTGAGGTAAAAACTGAGTAAATCTATCATTCCAAGCCCGTGGAGCTTGTTTTAAACCATAAAGAGACTTGTGTAATTTGCACACTAAGTAAGGATATCTGGAATCTTCAAACCCGGGAGGTTGTGACATGTATACCTCTTCATTTAAAATGCCATGAAGAAATGCATTTTTAACATCAAGTTGTCTTAATGGCCAATTAAATTGTGCAGCAAGAGCAAGAACCAATCGTACAGTAGTAGGCTTTACCACAGGACTAAAAGTTTCCCCATAATCCAATCCTTGTTCCTGGCTAAACCCCTTCGCTACCAATCGAGCCTTATGTCTGGCAATACTCCCATCAGCATTCCTTTTTATTTTAAACACCCATTTACACCCAACTAAATTCTTATTAGGTGGCAGATCAACCAAACTCCATGTATTCTGTGAATACAAAGCTTCAATCTCCTCTTGCATTGCACTATACCAAACTGGAACTTTTAAAGCTGACTTATAAGTGGCTGGTTCAATTGTTGTTAAATCAACCTCAACTGCACTGTGAACAGATGCTAAGAAAACTCTCTTCTTTATGATCCCACTTTTAGACCGTGTTTGCATAGGGTGTAAATTCATTGGGGGAATATCATGAACCACTTGCAAGGTCTCTGAGCTATATTCAGGTACCACAGAAGAATCTTGAGCAACAATGGATTGAGAAGCAGGTGAGTTTGTGGATTGTGGTATTGGTTGAGGTGAAGATTGTATAGTAGGCTGAGAAGGGTGAGTATTAGATGATTGGGTTGATGGATAGGTTGTTGATGGGGTAACCAGGATATTTTCAAGATTAGGAAGCACAGAAGAATAGCTAACAGTAGTTTGAGATGGTTGTGGCACAGAAATCTTAGGTTTGAAAACCATTGTGGCATATGGAAAATCTATTTCGTTAAAAATAACATGCCTGGATATATAGATTTTCGCATGACTAGGATCATAACATATGTACCCCTTATAGGTCAAGGCATATCCCAAAAATATACACTTAGTAGACTTAGGTTGGAACTTGTTGCTGTTATAAGGTTTTAACAATGGGAAACAAGAACAACCAAAGACTCGAAGATGATGAATATATGGGATTACAGAATATAATTGTTCAAATGGAGAGTTATTATGAATAACAGAAGATGGCATTCTGTTAATTAAGTAAACTGCTGTTTGACAAGCAAAAGTCCAGAATGTAGAAGGCAAATTTGCATTTTGTAACATAGTGAGAGCGGTTTGAACAATATGTTTATGCTTTCTCTCAGCCAACCCGTTTTGTTCAGGGGTATAGGGACAAGATTTATGATGAAGAATGCCGTGTTGAGCAAGAAATGATTGAACAGATTTACTAATATATTCTCCCCCTCCATCATTTTGCAAGATCTTAATTTTGGCTGAAAATTGAGTAAAAACATACTGATAGAAGGAAATGAAAATGGAGACAAAATCTGATTTATTTATCAAAGTAAACAGCCAACAAAATCTAGTACATTCGTCAACAAATATGACATAGTACTTGAATCCATCCACAGAGACACAAGGTGCAGGCCCCCATAGGTCACTATGTACAACTTCAAAAGGTATTACAGATTTGGAAGTAGCTGGATAGAAAGGAAGTTTACTAAATTTGCCTTCTAGACAACTTTGACAAACTATAGAAGACACATCCTTATTAACAGCAACATTAGATTTCCTAAGTGTAAGAGAGAAACAATAGGATTTGAGGGATGACCTAGTCTGCAGTGCCACAAGTTTGAGGTGACAGTATGTCCAAGACAGGCAACGGCTTGATTTGCTTGTTTTTGAGGTATATGAGGTCTGGTAGTAAAGGAAGAAATGGGATACAATCCATTGTTGCAGAGTCCCTTAAACAAGATTCTCCCTGTGGCTTTGTCCTGAATCCAAAAACAGTAAGCATCAAAAATTAGCCAACAGTTGTTGTCAAGACAAATGCGATGAACAGACAACAAATTATGAGATAGCTTTGGAACATAAAGAACTGAATTCAGTTTTATAGGCTGTAGAGAAGTCCTTAAAAGAGAATCTCCAATATGAGAAACTTGCAAACCTTCACCAGCTGCTGTTTGAACTGTATCATTTTGAGAATATGGTGAAGCAATGGACAAATTACTCAATTCATTCGTCATGTGATTGGTTGCACCAGAATCAGTTAGCCAGACTTGAGAAGGGACTTGATTAGGCATTGCAGTAGACATAGTGGGCATAGCATAGGAAGAAGATGCATTCATGGAAGGAACCATGTTCACTGAGTTCATAGTGGACATGGGAGGCACGTGAGAAGAACCCATATTCAACATGGGAGGCATAGCACTCATATACTGAGGTTGCATTGAACCAGGAAAAACAGTATTCATAGCAGTCATTTGTGATGGAGAATTCCTTCCTTTGTTTCTGTAAAAACATGTCTTGGCCGTGTGATTACTTCTGTCACAAATTTGACAATTCTCCGAAGAATCATCACTTCTATACACACACGTAGCAGCAGAATGGCCGTGTAGAGAACATATTTGACAGATGACATTTGAAAAGGAAGTACCATTGTTAACATGAGAAGGACTACCAAGTATACCAGGAGCAAAATCATGAACTATAGGTTTAGAATGATAGAACTTTTGTCCCTGATTCGAACCAAATTTATGGCCTTGATTATATGTAGCCTTGCCTTTACCCTTAAATTTTGACTTGTTGCCACCATTATAAAACGAAGATTGGCCAGAGTTCCCATGAAAACCATTAGAATTGTGAAACCCATTGGAGAAAGATCCTTGATATGAAGATGATGAAGCACCAGAATGAGAAGCTTGATTCTTTACCATCATTGCAGTAGGAAAGGAAACACATGAATTGTTTTCAATAGTAGCTTCTTCCGCAAGTAACTGGGCACGAAATTCCTTCAACGAAATCACATTTTCTCGGCCACGAATAACACATCTAAAAGTATTGTATTCTGCAGGTAGACCACCATTTAATGCCAATATGACAATATCTTCATCGACAAATGTAACACCAGCAGCAGCAAGGTAGTCTCTTGTTTCTTTGATGCGTTGAAGATATTGGGAGACAGAATCAGCCCCTTTCTTGATTGTTTGAAGATCAGACTTTAACTGGAAAATAGAGGTCTTGCTTACTGTAGAAAACTGTTCTTGAAGACGAACCCATAGATCTCTAGCACTACTACTCCCAATTGCACAAGAAATGGCCATAGGAGACAAGGTAGCAATGATAAGTTGCATGAGAGCCCTATCATGCATCTTCCAAACCTTATACAAATCTGATTCAATTCTTGCACCAGACCCAGAAGCAGTAACTTCTGAATCAATAGAAAATTGAGATGGACACGGATTTGTTCCATCAACAAAATCCATAATTCCATAGCCTTCAAGCATTAGCTTCATTTGGAAATGCCATTGAAGGTAGTTGGAGTCGTCCAATTTAACCGAAACTGAAGTTGAAACAGAGGACATCAACCCAGTAATTGGAGACTGCAAGATTTGCAGTTGAGTTGCAGTAACCATAGTGATAATTCTCTCAGAGGAATAAAACCAAACAGTTGGTGGGCAAAGATTTTCAGAGTAAAAATCAAAGAAAAGGGCAAGAACTAGAACCCAGAAATCAGAGAAGTGATTCACAAAGATGAAAAGAATGGAGCGGAAGCATAAGAAACCAGAATCGAAGAAGCTTACGATCGAAGCTTAGAGGGCGAGTGATACCATGTTAACCATATCAGATGGAAGCCATTAACATAGAACACAAGAAGAAAGAAAGCTTAAGAGAGAAGAAAAGAGACGAGAGAAGACTTTAGAGAAAGAAAGAGATATTATTTTCTTTATTACTTTTTCTACTTACAATCTTCTTACAGAATAATAGCTATATACTATCTTGATCTTGTTATAGCTAGAATATCCCAATCGTATCCTTCAATCTAGCCACTGTATTAATGACAGATGGCACAATCTAACTGATTCAGTTATATACTCTTACACGAAACACTCGGTGTCTCTTATTTTCTAGATCCCAAAATCACTGGCGATGCCCTTGTTACAAGTAAGTTTTTTAGATACGTGTCAAACGGCCAAGGATAATAAAGTTTTCTTCAACCCTCCACCTCAAGGGCAATTCCGTAATTTTACCAGATCACAAACAACAACAGAAACAGAATCTACATAAAAGCGGGAAAGAAGAAGAAGTTACCTGCTCCGGCCGGAGAAACACTACGTTTCCCAAAACGATAACGTTTACGGACTCGTCCATCATCTTCGCGAACTCAGCACCTTGCTCTTCGCTCTCGCATCCTTCGCTGCAGATCCGAACGAACTCCGATCGCGAAATGGAAGTTTCCGGAATCTCCCTCAGCTTCGCCTTCAGCTTCTCCACCTGAGAAAGCCTCAGAATCTTCTTCGCGTTGGGGACCGAGATTCCTAACGGAAGCTTGGCGGTGGGGTCCCGATCTGGAGGCGGAGGGCTGAGACCACCGAGACGGAGCTGATCACCGCTAATGTTGATGCCTCTCAGCTTTTCCCGGAGCTTCTCCCCAACCGGAACGGTCAGGAATTCCGGGAGCTTCGATGCCGACTGGCGGTGGAGGAATCGGCGGAAAAATCCTTTCCGGGGGGTGTCCATCGAGGTCAGATACTCCCTGTGGAAATTCACCTGGGCGGCATTCGGAGGCACGATGTTTTGGTGAACTGCCATAACCGACGACGGTGGCGCTAGGGCCACTCTGGTGGCGCCAAATGCGCGCGCTTAGCAAGCGCTTGACGGAGCGCCATGGACGAGTGAGAAAGTAGAGAGAGAGAAAGCGAGAGCCCAGACGGTGAGTGTGAATGAGAGGCTCGCTCGAGTGTTGAGCTTTGGGAGTGAGCTGCTGTTATTTATAGGCTGAGTGTCCGACGTAAGCGGAACTTGTTGGAAGATTGATAGTAACGTTTTGGGGACACGTCACAAATTTTTCTTTGCCAAAATTCTTATTATAATTATTTCAAAAAAAAAAATTCTTATTATAATTCTCTCGCTTAATACAAATTTTCTTCAATAGTATATAGCATTTGGTAATTGAAAATAAACGATCTAATATTACAAAAATCAAATCTAACCGTTAACACATTTATGATATTAAGTGATACGTAACATTAAAGAGACAACCGACCAACTTTTGACACTTATTTGGCCACTTGTCATTGCATTGCAATAATGTTTTCAGCATGCATATAGGTCTAACCCAAAAAACTGAAATCCAGTGGAAAGGAGATTCTTAACCATCCCAATAACTAAATAGAAACGAATTCCACCAAAACAACCGATTAACGATTCAAGAAGCAAAACACCAGAAGAATCAAAATATGAAAGGAATTATAGGAGGAGGATGAAACAATAATATTCACCCTTCGAATTATATCCTTTTGCAAATTCTCTGAATAAGAATAAAAGAAGGGAATCTTAAACAAATGGGAGTACCCTATGCATGGGAATCTCATTAGGCTGTTGGATTCCAAATTTTAAGATTCTTAATTAGATAATCATCCCACTAGTGAAAGTCTACCACCTCCATTTTAATTTGCATGGGTAATATAATGCGTGGGAAAGGAGACGATGAGCCAACTCCCTAACCTCTTTTTTTTTTTCTTGAAGAGAGTCAACTTCCTAACTTATTCATGTCATTGTTTCAACAACTGGAAGTATATTTTTGCTTATTACGTTTAAGTAATGGTAATGCTCACCACCATATTTGTTATTATTGAATGCGGTTAAATTATAAAATTTGTGTTCATCCACTACAGATATCTCAAAATTTATAATAATCCAATAATTATAAATAGGTGATGAGTACAAATATTCTTCAACCAATCTAGAGTTTGTCAAATATTTCTACGTAACCCCCACTAGATAGGATTTTATTGTTGGGTATCTGCAAAGCATGGAACATTGGAGCCCCACCCTAATCGACCATGGTGATTGCCATTTTTTGGTGGCAGAACCATGCAGTTTTTCAATGAGGTTCACTAAGTCAGCTTTCTTTTTATTTTATACGTTAGTGACATGTTGTTTACTTTGGACGGAATATCATGATATTGGGTTATTATTTCACTCAAATTATAAGTATGTACTTGTTTTTTTATTGGGAAAAGGCTAGAGAAATCACATTTTGTATCACCTTTGTGTACCACATGATGTGACAAGTAATGTATACATGCTACACCAATTAATAAACTTATCTCATATAAATGTTAATTATATATATCATTACTTTGTCACAATATGTGGTACACATATGTAATCTCCAACATTTTTTTAGTGTGCCTAGCAATAGCATTACTCTTTTTATTAACTTATAGTAGTATTAACCATAAATCACTAAGTGCCTTGTCTGCACCTATTAGCTTAAATGTTAAGCATTGTTGGAAGAGGGTATATAAGTTTGGTTATTGAGATTTGAAATCAATAGAAATGGTCATTGAGTTTGTCCACCATCAATCATTTTGGTCATTTCATGAAAAATTATATTGAATAAGGACCAAAATAACAAAAATACCCTCAATTTAATAAACAATGTGACAAATGATTTGACAAAAATTGGGGTATTTTTATCATTTTAGCCTTATTTAATGGAGATTTTTCATGGAATGATCAAAATGATTGATGGTGGACAAACTCATGCATGGACTAGTTCTATTAATTTCAAATCTCAAGAACCAAAATGAAGAGTTATGCAAATCTCAATGATATTTTAGTTAAAAAGTCTAAAAACAGCTATCAAATATACAAGAGCTTTCTTCCTTTCAAAACTTCTCCTTTTCTTTCTTCTTCCTGTGATTCTTTGCCTTCTATGTTATATGTTATATGGTTATGAATTAGAAGTGAGACATATTAATCATATGTTACCCACTCAAAACATGACGAGGCACTAAGTGATGAGTAAATTCGTGACCAAAGCTAGGTTCAGACGTCTGTGAATATATGAGGGTGAAAAAGAAAATTAAGAAGAAGAAAAGTGGGCTGATGCAATACCTTTGTGCCAATCATTGCACTTGATTATTATTACTGGTGGCACAAAATTGACACACAATCCAAAGAGTTCATACTAAATTACTTTGTGGAAAACATATAGAAATACATATTGTTAAACTATGAAAAATGAGAAAGGTTAAGAAGAAATTTTTAAAAGTGAGACTCTTTATATATTCTCTGCCATTACAATTGCAAATTTTAAGCTTTAAGTCAACTATTGAAGTTGGTCATATGGTCTTTTTTCACCGGTTTTTTCTTTTGCTTTTGCATGTTTTCACAATTCGTTGATGCTACTTGACACTTGAGTACAACTAATTACATACATACGTATATATATGTATGCATACAAATCATATAACTATAAATCGATGGTAGGGGAGGGTCACCATGGCTTCCGTGTAATGTTAATTTCCAAATGGCATATGGATTATTGTAAGATGAGGGTGGACCATCTAAATTTATCAATGAACATTATACATAATTATGTGCATATTCTGCCTAAATGATATAGGTTCTTTCAATGTCATGGGGGATTTAGTGCCATCCAATGGAGATACCGACACAAGGACACATTAAACTACCCCATATAAGAAATTTTCGATTTAAATTAAAGGAAAATCAATGAAAATTGCTCGAAAACTTTGAGCTTTAACAATAAGAACAAAATAAAGGGTAAAGTGAATAGTACCATGATTGACTTTTTAGTGTAAAAATGTGGTTTTTCGTTAAAGTGAACAGTATCAGGAGCTTTTCGTTAAAGTTTCCTTAAATTAACCATATTAAACAAAAACAAATTAATGATCCTTCAGTTCATGAAATTGGCTGCAAGGTAATTCCCTGCCTTTAGGCCTTAATTAAAGAATTATTGTTAATTAGAACGTCATGTAGGGATTCCTACTGCATGGAATGCTGTCCGAATCTGACGCACTAGCGTACGTAGTTACTAAAACGACAGGAGTGGGAGGCAACGCAACAAGGCATGCACTAGGAGTCAAACAAAAACACACACACACAAACATATATATGAATAGATCCGATTCTATCCTCTTCTATTTTTCTTTTTCTTTAGTCCCGTTTTATTTGGACATGTATGATTAAGTTATGTCAACACCTTGAGTTGAATTCTTTATAAAATAAATAAAAAAAAAAGAAAAAAAAAAGAGGAAAGTGAAAAAAGAGAGGGAAGGAGGAAATTTAGAAGGAAGAGAATCCTACTCCTATATGAAATGGAATATATCAGATAACCAGGCAATTAAGTTAACATCTTTTGGATATAAAGCACTCTCACAGGAATCAGCTTCAGCTTCAATAGAAGTAGCAATGGGAAATATAGTCTCATCGAGGTTTTGATGCCTCGATCCGGATAGATTTAGGATTTGATGCCTTCAAAATTTTTGCTACGATATAAATTATCAACCAAGAAAATCTTCTCTAGACACATTATGAGCCTTCAAAAAGTTGTGCTTGCTCCAATTTAAGAGTATTGACTGTGTTTATACCATATTTAGGGCCTCGTATTTAGATCTCGTACAAATACTCGGATGACTTAAATGTAATTATGTGATAAAGGAAGGGGCAAATATGTAATAAGTGAGGAGTCCTTATTCTATAAAAGGACTCCTTACCCTCACAATTAGGGGAGACCATTTCTATAGCCTTCTCACCCCTCTCACATCTCTTCTCATTACAGAGGTTCTCTCCCTCACCTCTCAGATAAATACATAATCAATGTGGACGTAGCCCAAACCTTGAGGTAAATCACGATACATCTTGTGTTATTTACTTTCATGCAGATTCACGATCGGATTTACGTTATTCCAAGACCTCTGATTTTGTGCATCAATAGACTGAAGAATTTGGCCTTAAAAAAATTGGTGTTGACTTCGATGATTGAATGCTGACTAGGCCTTCCAAAAGATTAGTGTTGGCTTCGGTATAATGGCTCGATCAATTATTGGTGTGAAAATTGGTTTCTCTTGTGACCTCGTGTGAGGACACTCGTGAGGGGGTTGTTGGGTTTTTGGGCATATAATTGCGATTTTTATTTAACCGAATAATTAAATACACAGTGGAAAATAAATAAATAAACATAATATGTAATTTCAATTACATATCCATTTGGTTGTCATTAATAATACGTGAAGAGATTAACTTAATCCTTAGCCATGTGTGCACCACTTCGTAAGATCATTTTTGTGCTTGTGTTCTTCCTCTTCATGATTAATTATGAGAAGCTCTCCAAGTGTTCAGTCTCTAAGAGTATTCACATTTATACATAAACGGCGGATGATGGAGTGAACCATTCGATTGTGCTAATAAGATCACTCACTTGCACCAATAGAATCGGCGGCACACTAGGAGGCTTTCTGCTAGGGTTTTCTCCTTCTCTTTTTTATTTTTTTATTTTTTTTTATTTTTATTTTTTTCCTTCTGACGAACAAAACTAATTGCATTCACAATAACATTAGGGATACATGAGAAAACGCATGGATATTTATGATATCCCATGCCACACCTCCTTATAGGGTTTGACGCCATGGGCTTTGTCCCATGCGTTTTGTTCAATCACTTCTTACTTTGGGCTTGTAGTTTGGATTTCTTTTAATTAAGGGATGAGATATTCATGTACCTTATATTATTTTTCACACATTTTTCTAATTTTCAATTGTCGGATTTGATGAATG